GCATTAACACTCAAGTTGAACCTGAATTATAATTATCATTACTATAGACTTTTTAGGACTACTTAAGTCCTCGACGTCGCATCGACCTTCTTCTCCATGATATGATTTCTTGGCGTCGCCGTCTTAGAGTTCTGATAGATAAAAATATGAGATTTAGAGAGAAAGAACATATGGGAACTTAACCATATATATGCTTTTTTTTAATAAGTAACCTAACCATATGGTTTGAATAAGTAATTAATTAACTTGTTTACAATAATATCCTATCATGTACGCATAATCAAAGAAAATTATCTCATGATCACGTAATGCACACAGCCTATTACAACTAATGCACCTATATGTTATTAGTTAGCATAATTTGTATGCTTATTGTGTGAATTGAAATGGACTCCCTAAGTTGTTTTGTTTATAATGGTTTTGGTATATTTTCACCAATTCATATATATATATATATATATATATATATTGCAATTTGCAATTGCAAGTCAATGCATGATCGGCACCCACCAAACACTCTACACTAAATTTATTTGGTTCATTATTTTTTTTCCAAAATCAATGCGATTTTGAATTTTTCTGCTCTCTAATATGTAAGAAAAGGGCGTGGGAAAATTTGACTGGGGTGACAATATGCCCCATTGAATTATAATTAAAACATATTTTGGAGGTGAAAGCTTCGGTTCTAGGTTTAATTTATTATATTGGAAGGTCAACTAGTCCTTCTGGACACAGGATACCCTTTTTCTAAAAAAGATATATTTGTTAGATATACAGATAATTGATATTGTAGTTATAAGTTAAATTTTATATTCTTTAGAATTTTAGGAAATCAGATTTTTCTTCATTTAATTTTGCGTGATTTATACGGTAACTTGCAATCGGGTCCATAAATATATAACTGTGGGTATTTATTTATTTATGATCAGTAACTTTTTCACAAAATTTTATATTCTAAAATTGAATTAATTAAACAAAATATTTAGGTGGGGAAAGCTTTGGTTTTAGGTTTAACTAATCTTGGAAGTAATACTTATGGACATATTATAGTTTTTCTAATATATATACAGACACACGTTTGGTGTTGCTTGATTCACATATCATAATTTAAATCTTTTGTTACAGTTTTTTTTTTTTACAAATTTTCTGTTCAAATTTATAAACTAATAACAACAACTTAATTGATATTGTAGTTATATATATATATATATATTTATTTTCTTTTTCTTTCAATACTGATATTTTAGTTCCTTAGATAGATATGACGATGATTCCTTAGAATTCGAGCAAATCACTTTGGGCATGTTCTTTTGTCCAAAAAACTCAAAAAAAGATAACTCAAGTTCCAACTTTATTCAAGTTCACGTTCTTTTAAATTTTAACTTTATTTAACTTCACTCAACTTTATTCAAGTTACAATTTCAACTCAAGTTATAACTCAAATTCAATTCAAAAATTACACTCAAATTACATTTCAAAAGAACATATCCTTTTTTTCTCTCTTTAACTTTTCGTCGAATATACAGTGCAACGTGCAATTCGGGTCTATAAACTATGACCGGCCAATTTATTTATTTAGCAACATTTGCACAAAACGTGAAATCCCAACTAAAAAGCAACTTCACTAGTTGATCATCTGCAATTTATTGTTAATTAATTGTACGAATCAAATATTATATCAAAAGTAAATGCGGTACTTGCTTTATCTATGACCCTTTCGGATTTAGAAAAAGGAAAAAAAAAAAAAAAAAAAGTCGACAATGGACACTTTCCTGAGTGATATATCGGAAAACGATCCAATTTCTAATCTAAAAACAAAACATGTTAAAAAAGTTATTGAAAAAACAAGGACACGATAATAATATTCCACCAATGATAATATTAACTGTTGGCGGAGCCAATGAGCGTGGCTAGCCGCCCCACTCAAATTTTTTTTTTAAAAATATTCTCTTTAAAAATTTAAAAATTTTATATTTAAGTTCCCATTAAAATAATATAGAAGATGTTTATTTTATGTATTCGTTTTTTATTTTAATCATGATTCATGGTTCTCTACAGTATTTTTCACTCATAAAAAATACACGTAAAATAAGAATAATTCTAAATACATGAACCAAACGTCTACATATGCCCCCATTAAAATAAGTATATTTTTTTATATGCCTCCATTAAGATAATTAAAAAAAAAATTAGTGTATGGAGCACTGAAGTGAAAAATTGGCTCCACCATTTACTGTTGTAGAGAAATTTCGTTCTTTTTCCTAATTTGTTTAAAGGCTTCTGATCAAAGTCCTCACAAAGCCATAAATTCTCCATTGGCTTCATGATATAAAATAATACTAGTTAAAAAGGTACTTTTTACGCGCGTGATTTATTTAAAATAATAATTATATAATAAAAGAAATAGAGACAAGTACAGTAAAAAAAAAGATCCAAAACAAAAGAAGAGGAAAAAAACAAAAAAATAAAAAAAATTTTGTGCAAAATGTTTTGCAACTAAATCGGAAATTTAGGAGAATCACATGAGAAATGTTTATGTAGGAACATATATGATAATAAATTATTTCAACATGGCAATTAAAAAAATGATATTTTAACCGTAAAAAATATTTAAATGAGGATATATTGGAAAAAAAATATAGAAAAAAAGTTAAAAGATGTAATAGAAAAAAGATAACAGAGAAAAAAAAAAGAAAAAAAAAAAGCAAGATCTAAAAAAACAAAAAAAACAAAAAAAAGAGGGGTAGGGCACATTAGTAGTTATTATTATTCCCCTTCAAGTCACAGCTCTCAAAAAGTCTCTTCCCACCTTCTTTCCTCTTTCCTCTTTCCAATATCCCACACCGAGATCGGTGATCCGACATATCCTCGCTCCTCATAACCCTGTTACGAGCATCTTATACCGCCACTACTAGAAGATCTCGTTAGCTCCTCACAACACCACGAGGAGAAGATATGAATGGCTCTTGGTGGTGCAATGAAAAATATATATTTTTTATAATCTTCTTTTTTTTTTTTTTTTTAAATTTTCCGGTTAGACAACTAACAACAACATAGCCACCAACCACCATTTGAGTGATTTTTGGGTACGACAGCGGATTACGAACCGGGCTCCATGGTAAGATTTTTAATATCACGATGGACTACCACCAAGTATATCACAGTATGATACTATTGGCAACACAGTCGGAGACGGCTGAAATTAAGATCAATATTATATTAATTTAGAAGAAATAAGACAAATGTCTTTTAAAGTGTATGAGTCTGTATTTTTATCTCTTATTCTTGATTAATATTTTATTTAGTCAAATAATTATATTAGTCAAAATAGTATTAATAAATATTAAAGAGTACAAATTTAGACTCAGCTCATCAATTTTCTCATAGGTTTACGGAATTTTTTGTGTCACAGCTAACTACCTCGAAGTATAATGATAGAATACCGTCACTCACTAATGAGTATTGTTGGCATCTTAGTATGATGCTATCAAAGATATTTTTTGTATTTCAAAAATGTTGGTGTGAAGTTTTCTACAATAACTTTTTTCATAACAAAAATCAACATAAAACTTGTGGGCGTAAACATTTGTGTAAAGCTCCCATAGTAAATTGGTGGAAAAATAAAATATGAAATCTTACAAATTAAAATGAGAACTTTTTTTTTTTATTGCATATGAGAATATTCTTTGTTTAACGTCTTAGATGGTCTAAAACTATATGTTAAGAAATTAATAAGAGAAAAACTTACTAATAAATAGTAAATAGGGACTTTTTCTAATGTCCCTCATTTTTTGTGAACACTCGTGTTCCATGCTTATCAATCGTTACATCTGTATTAAATCTGGTCAAAAATATTAAAAAAATAATACATATCTAATGGCTACAAAATAAGGACACTGATATTCTCAAAAGTATAAAAAAAAAATCAGAGAATATATGAAACGTTAATTATATTTGAAGAATGAAGCTATATATTGGAATTTGGGATCAAGAGTGAACAAGAATCTTGTAATGAAAAATTCGGGCAATAAGAAGGAAATTAAAGTCGTTTAATCATCTTTTATAAGGAAGCAAATTGGTCTGAAAATCTTGCAGTCTCTTTTTGTTATGAAGAGAATAAACACCATTTTCGGAAAAGAAAAAAAGTATAAAGATTATTTTTGGAAAAAAAAAAGAAAGAAAAAAAGAAAGAGAGAGAGACGAGAGAATAAAGAGGATAAAAAGCGACAGGGGGAATTGTATCCGTGTCTATAGGGGTAGAACAAAGGCCAGGACGAAGTTTCCCAAAGTTGCAGACAAATTTTTTTTTTTTTTTTTCAAAACACAAAGTTTCAGACTCCAATGTCCACTAATAATTCCGAATGACTTTTTCTAATAAAAAAGAATTCCAAATCATTATTACGTAATAACCGAAAGAATTAACTTTAGTATAAACATTAATTCGGAAAAAGAGGCACACAAAAAAAAAAATGTTTCTATTAATCTATCATCACGAGCACAAAACTATTTGGCATCTTTTGGATGGGACCATGTCATGATCATCACTCTGATTGTGACTAAACAAATAACAAAGCAAATCCAGGACAAGATTCCCGGAGACGGCCTTATAGTTTTATATGGCTTCAAACGTCCAAAGAAAAAGAAACTCTAACGGCTGGAATTGTACTTTTATCTTATCGATGGACACTGTTATTTTTTGACAATTGAATTAACTTTTTAGCGATCTGACTTGCGAATATCTACGTTAAAAAATTTTGCCGAAAAAAATAATAAAAAAACTCTAAAAGAAAATCAGTTACACATAAAGATGTGAGAGCTCAACCGAACAGAAATGCATTTGCATTTTGCACTATTTTATTGGAATCCCAAAACAAATATAGACTACATATGATTAGAAAAATGTAAAAAAAAAAAAAAAAAAAAAAAAGAGCAAAAATCCTTTCCCAAATCCACATTTTGAAATAACATCTCTTTTGATAATTTATTATAATCATCAATAATCAAAGAGAGTCCTAGTACTCTTATCAGATTACAAAAGGACATGTAAAGACAGAGAAAAAAAAAAGAAAAAAACCTGATAATCAATAATGGAAGACATAAACATTGTACTCCACAATAGCGTTTCCAGACGTGAGGTTGAACGTGTGAGTCCTCGCCTGAGCGTACCCTCTCGCAAACCTAAACACCCCGCTTCCTCCGACGATCGGCAGTTCTCGAACCGCCGAAAACACGGCGTTCCGTCCCAAGACGCTTAGAGTGCTTCCGTTGTATTTGCCGTCGGTAAAGACATAGTTTTGAACCATCAGAAGTCCCACCTCGGCCTGCGAGGCCGAGGCGTATATACCCTGGGCACTTCCCACCTGCTTGGAGGTCGGGTCGGGCCCCACGGTCAACGGATCGTCTATCATCACCACAAAGCCGAAGCCCGTGACCGAAGAGTTCGTCGATGCGGCGGCGGCGACTCTGACTGCCGTCGCGTTTTTGCCGCTGACAATGTCGTGGAAGTAGAAGTGGAGATGGCTTAGCTTCTCTTTCTTGAGGCCTAACCTTTTGGGAGGTAGGGTTTTTGAGAATTGGTACTCATTTTGTGCTGTGGTGAGGCTGATCAAGAAGAGAATTACGGTTAGTGAGATGATGAGAAAGATTGGGATGGAGTTTTGGAGAGTTTTGGCCATGGTGATATGGAGAGAAGAGACAAGAGACTTGTTGTTAAAGGACAATTATATAAAAAGGGCATGTTGTTTAGGTGAGTGGTTTATATATGTGTTTGCGCGTCTGTATATATAGCAAAAGGGTGTTGTATATTTGTTTTGGAATAATGGAGTAAATCCGGGTCTATCACGTCATTGACTTCTGACGCGGTAGGTCTGTTTCTTGACGACTTTTTAGGTACTAAAATATTGCAACAAACTGACGGGAGTCTTTTTTTTTTTTTTTTTTTTGAGGGGTAACACACAAGAAAACTGATGGGAGTTTAATTTTGGGAGCTCCCTAGAGAAAATAATAATATGCTTTTCTAACCCCCAAAAAAACCTATAGGTAATGCACAATTTTAAGCGTTAAATTTGAAAAAAAATGACATCAAAATAAATAAATAAAAATATAGAGCTCCCTTCTTTCATACCCTATGTAAGAATTCTCGTACTGTTTTTTTTTTATTTTTTTTTATTGTACAATAAGATAAGAAATAGTTTATTTTTCTTTCAGATAGTTGCCCACTTACTTTTTTATTTTCATTAGATAAAAAAAAAAGAATACATTAGGAAAAAATGTAGTTGTTTGTTTTTCAATGTCATATCATATTATACATCTTTGGTAAGTGTTCAAATCTAATGAGATTTGATTAAATTTTTTATTCATTTATAGCCTATCTCGGACTATTTCCTCAAATTAACATGCAAATTTGTGCGAGCTTTTATTAATATATTGTGGTTTTGTATAACTATCGTTCATTAATTTATTCTAATTATCAGTTAGTAAATTAATTATATCATGATAATTTTTTTTTGTCATTATAAGTTGATAAATTTTGAGTGTAGACTTCTTTTAGGGTAAATATGACAATTTCATTAAAAGGCCATCAAAGGACTAGAATACATGACTGCACTAAAACCATAGGAACGGGTGTCACTCATAAGACTAGACATTAGAGAGGCACCTGTAATCCAATAACGGGGAGGACACCTCTCAAAAGTGGCTTTGTAACATTTGACCGCAGAAAATTGACTCAACGTGAGCTAGATCCTAGTTATGTAATGGAACTCAGAGATACACACATACCTCAGACTACCAGTAGTGGGGAAGCCAACAGCTGGTTGAGGGAGAAAACACCACAGACTGATAGAAGTGGAAAAACCACCCTCTAGCAGGAGTAACACACCGGGGGATGAGGAAACCATCTCCTTTACTACAGTAAAATAAAGAACAAAATACAAAAAAATATACACAAATCTACAATCTAATAAGAGAGATCTCGTTGGAGATGGTGTAAAACAAGCAAGCAACTCCCCCAAGTCCGTCCATGTGTTTTCAGAGTCCACGGTCGGCGAACACCCTCCGAAGATCGTGTAAAACTACCGAGAAACTCATACCTTCACAGGCTAGATATGACGAAACGCCACCTTCTTTGGCTACAAGGAAGCCATCACCTTCGCTGCGAGGTCAGGGATGAGATTTTTATGGCTAGAGATGTTGGTTTTCAAAACGTTTTCCAGTGCAAAAGCGTGGTAGTTTGGATCGTGTATAACAAAAATTTTCATAAAACTTTTGAATACTCTATAGATTATATTAATTTATACAATAATAAATTAATCATATAAATTTATAAAAATAGATACATAGCGAGCGATTAAGCGAATAACTTAAGGTCCTTGACCACGATCAATCCAAACTCCAAGCTTTCTCAGAAAACCTAAATCTTCCTCGTCTAGTCTTTAAAATTTGTAAGACCTACAGTGTGAGCTCTAATATAGAACTATTAAATTAGATTACTCGCTAAATTGTATTCATGCACTATCAATGCATGTACGTGAAGAAAATAGGAATTGGAAGAACTTTTCTTCTCTTTGCTCTATCTTAAATTCGACTACCTTAGGAAAAATAGAGAGCAAAAATTCTCTATACCAATTTTCTGTTGTCTCCTATTTATAAAATATTAGGAGAACCCCTTTGCTTTAACTTGAAGACAAAGCAATAGAAAAACTGATTACTATTACATTTTATCTCATAAAAATACAGTTTCCCATTTAGGTTTGGAAATAAAATTCTATCCATTTTTACTACGTGGTCGGCCACACCACAGGCAAACCTCCCAATGGTTGGAGCAAATCTACAACATGAGAAAAAGAAAATTCCTCCTTTATGCAGTTTCCCATTTTAGCTCAAATTCAAATCTAAATAAAGTCATACTTCACTTTCCTTTTGAATTTGATTGAAAACTTATCAAACAAGTAAACCAGATATCTTGGAGAGCAAGCAACTCAATCCCAATGGGATTCTACCTGTGTCACACGCCCCCTGGACCTCTATGTGTCTGGCCGTGTGACCTTCTGTGGTACAACCACAGTGTGTTCTAAAATTAATTTAATTAAATAATCACATTATTTAATCAAATCTATTTTTTCCAAAATTTACTCCACTAAAAATAGGGAATTGCACTCTCAAAATTATAGACATAATTTACTTCTAAGAACTTGAAGTGTCCATTCGATATAGTCATTACATATAAATCAATCCTCCATAAATAATTCATAATTAGAGTTAGGTAAAATCCGTTAACCTCTCTAATTACATCTTTATCCTTGAGTACCATTGATTCTCTAATGAGTAGTATATTCATAAAACACATTCATGAATATGAGCTCGTTACTGATTCAAGTACCAAATCAATCCTCAAAGGAATTATTTATCTACTTCTTCAAAGAAGAAGGAATGGATTTCATCTCGTATATTAGCATTCTCAGCTATCTATTTCACCATGTTATCAAGATACAAGGAATATGATTTAGGATCTCAAAATCCGTACCGAGTAAGTTAAAAAATAAAAATCCATAAATAGGAGTTTACTAATAACTCAGCATTAATATCATTCCATATATGACCATCGGTAAACTCAAATTTGACTTTCTATAGTTAACAAAAATTATCAGAAAATCAAATTGTGTCTCTGACCCAGTTCTACATAATCTTATTATGCATAATACGCTCATTCAATATCCCTCTATATTAATAATGCGGATAACATCATTCCATTCTTAATGGGAATGAACGTGTATTAGTAATGATTTAATTAAAGATTATGTAAGTTTAATTAAATTCATTACAACATTATTTCGATTATTATCTTTAAATATTATCCTCTCGTATAAAACACTTATAACAATATTTAAGGTCACATAAATAATCGCGTACTTTTCAATGATATTCATAAAGTATTCAACAATACATGCACATAAATAACGAATAAACTATTTTATTAATTAAATAATAAATATCCTTATTACATCTCATGCTTTAAGAACACTATTCCTAACAAGATGTACTTCAAACTCTTGTGATCAGTGTAGATCCGACATCGGGCCCCGCAGAGATAGTGTCGCCATATCTTTCAAGCAAATACTACCGCAGCTAGCTCCAAATCATGAGTCGGGTAATTTTCTTCGTGTTCCTTCAGTTGTCATGATGCATTGGTCACCACTTTGCCTTTCTGCGTTAATACGGCTCTCAGCCCTTGCTTCGAAGCATCGCTGTAGATTTCGAATTCCTCTTCATCTGTTGGGATTATGAGGATCGGAGCACTAGTGAGCCTCTTCTTTAATTCCTGAAAACTCTCCTCACACGTGACAGTCAATTCATACTTCTTATTCCTCCGGGTAAAAGCTGTTAAAGGCCTGCCTACATTTAAAAATACTGTAGCTCCTCTTAATTGATTGGATAGGTCATCAACCTTTGGAATAGGGTATTTGTTCTTACTCGTCACCCTTTGGAATAGGGTATTTGTTCTTACTCATCACTTTTTTCAATTCCTGGTAATGGATGCAAGTCTCATTATTCCATCATTCTTCTTAAATGAATAATACCAACGCTCCCCACTGTGAATATTTAGGACGTATGAACCCTTCGTCTAGTAGCTCCTTCAATTGCTTATGTAACTTTTTTAACTCAGCGGGGGCCATTACATAGGGTGCCTCTAATATAGGTGTCGTTCCGAGTGCTAACTCAATCTTTCTATCTGGTCATAAGTCGGATACGTCATCGGGACACACATCCTTAATCTCGTTTACCATAGACACATCGTCAATTCTCGTCTTCTCTTCCTTATTCTTATCTACTATACTTACCAGAAAACCTATACATCCATTGGCCATCTTCTTTTTAGCCTTCATTGCGGAGATAAACATCCTCATTTCTTGTCTCAGTTCCTCACATACTCGAACTCCTCTTCTCCTTCGGGTTGGAACACTACTCGTCATTGTTGACAAATGATGGATGCAATATACTTATCTAATGCACATCTTTTACTATCCAGTTACTATGTAGCTCTCTCTCAGCTATTCTTATCGATATAATCCGTAATCAAATGTGAACATCATTACTTCCTTAAAGGGTAGTGTCATAGTGAATTCATGTCTCTTAACTCCCTGGTTCCTCCCTAATTTCTTCAAAGAATGGAATTCAAGAAAGTGCGAGACTTCTAACCCAGTAGATATAAGGTGGATAAGAATAGTCCTATATATATCAATATATAGTGGAGGTCTCAGCTATGTCTTCTTCTCTCATCATGGTGTGGTCTCCTGGAGGTTGACTGAAATTTAGATTCCTCAACTGAACTTATTCTCGGCCTTCTTACATGTTAATGTACTAAAACTGTTAAATCTCATTCTCGAAATAGAACTCCATACGACTCCTATCATATTCTTCTAAGAGTACTTTCACAAAACATGAATGCACATATTCTTATCTACTCAAGACTCATCTAATCTTAACAACACTTGATTCAAAAATTTCTTGTCATTAAATATAATCATCGAAAACTCTTATCTTCATGTAAATTCTAGTGGATGGTCATCAAAACTTACTTATCTCTGCTCTTTCTTCCTCAGTAAGCATAAACCTATTAGCAACAATAATTAAAGCAAGCTTCTAAGCATCTCTTAGAATCATCTATCAAACACAAGGTACTCTTAGGTAACAACTTAGTGAAGTAACTAATTACAGTCACCAACAAAGTATTTTCCTTCATCCTAGGCTTATTTC